CTCTCCAGCTTTCCTGTAGGCCCCTTCAGGTACTGGAAGGCTGCTATAAGGTCTCCCTGGAGCCTTCTCTTCTCCAGGCTGAACAACCCCAACTCTCTCAGTGTGTCTTCATAGGAGAGGTGCTCCAGCCCTCTGATCAGCTTCGTGGCTCTACTCTGGACTTGCTCCAACAGCTCCTTGTCTCTCTTATACTGGGGACCCCAGAGCCGGATGCAGTACTCCAGGTGGGGTCTCACGAGGGCAAAGTAGAGGGGCAGGATCACTTCCTCTGATCTGCTGGTCATGCTTCTTTTGATGCAGCCAGGACACGGTTGGCTTTCTGGGCTGCAAGCACACATTGCCAGCTCATGTTCAGCTTCTCATCAACGAACACCCCCAAGTCCTTCTTCTCAGGGCTGCTCTCAATCCATTCTCCACCCAGCCTGTAGTTGTGCTTGGGATTGCGCTGACCCACATGCAAGACCTTCCACTTGGCCTTGTTGAACCTCATGAGGTTTGCATGGCCCCACCTCTCAAGCCTGTCAGGGTCCCTCTGGATGGCATCCCTTCCCTCCAGCGTGTCGACTGCACCACACAGCTTGGTGTCGTCAGCAAACTTGCTGAGGGTGCACTCGATCCCACTGTCCATGTCACCGACAAAGATGTTGAACAGTGCCGGTCCCAGTACCGACCCCTGAGGAACTCCACTCATCACTGATCTGCACATGGTTATCAAGCGATTGACCGCAACTGTTTGAGTGTGACCATCCAGACAATTCCTTATCCACTGAGTGGTCCATCCATCTCCAAATTAGAGACAAGGATGTTGTGTGGGACAGTGTGAAATGCTTTGCACAAGTCCAGGTAGATGTTGTCAGTTGCTCTTGCCTTATCCACCAGTGCTGTAAGCAAGCACCCAGTCTTCAGCCTCTCTGTTTCTGAATGGACTAGTTATTATGTTGACTTTAAGATAACTCGCCTCTACTTGAGATGCTGTCTTAGCTCTTTCCAGTAGAGTTTGAAGATTCTTTTGGTTAAGCAATGAACACAAATTTAATGTATAAAAGTAAATTTTAACATTTGTGTTTACTTCATTCCAGAGGTAGTCGTAATCCCCGTATAAGCTGTTTCCTCTCATTTTTCCATTATGCCCCCTGTGTGTGCCTAAGAGAATTAGTATGTGTATCCTCTAAGGTTAAGCAAGTTCTCTCGTCTGATGGTGACCACAGTTCTTTGAAATTAGTTAATCAAGTATAGTCTGAGGAAAGATGTGGGTAAGATGACACCTGTATTTGGCCTATGAGTGAAGTAGGATGTATAGTAAGCTTTGCTACAATGTATCAGGCTATCAGCCTTTGCCAGTCTAGAAATCTTTCTCAGTAGCTGTTGTAGCTTCTATAAAATATCTTTATCACAGCAAGCAGAGAGATTTTTTTTTCTTTAATAGCAGCTGCTACTCAAGTACATACTGTTTCCAAGCTACAACTTACTGATTTGGCATCACACTTCAGTGCTTAATTTGGGATAAGCAGAAAGTGGAGAAGCACAGCATATATGTTTCCCTTGCCCATCATCTACCTGGGCAATAGAATTCATTTCCCTGTCATAAATGACAATGTGTGTAGGCACTATAAGAAAGGGTGGATTATTGACTTGGTATTAAAGCATTGCCTCATGCTTCCTTCCTGTCTCTTGCTGTGCAGTTCAGGAGAATAAATATGGGTAGTTGGGTAGTGTAAATTCTTCGGTAATGATGTTCAGTAAATATCAGAGATGAATGCATCCTCCCCATTCTCATGCTTTTAATTGCTGAAAAAACCTCTTAAAAATGTGAATAGGTGCTTGAAGGATTACAGTTACTGATTTTTTTATTATCTCATTTAGATTTCTGGGTTGTTTCCCTTCATGTACATGTTCTGGTGATGCTGATGTTTGTTTCGCTACATGTACATGTTCTGGTGATACTGATGTTTTAAACTTACTTGTTTTGTATATGCTTTCATGGTACTGTTAATCTTCTACAGTTGTAGAAAGAACAGGTGAAGCTTTTTATTCCGTGCTGGTAGGAGCAAAAGGGAAGGAAAAAAAATACTGAGAAGCTAAAATAAATAATTAGGAAATTGGTGTTTATTTCCATTAGGAGTAAAAGTGTAAGAAGGCAGCATGAGTTGTAATCTAAAGAGGGAGATATTTTAAGCATTTTCATTTTGTCTGAAAAAATAATCTACAGTACAGCTAAATGCTTTAATTACTGTTATTTGTGTAAATACAAATTTTTGATAAAATTTCTCAGGTTTCTTTCCAACAAAACATGTTGTTATGCATAGAATGTGTAATTTAATATGCACCTGCAAAATGACCTGTCTGCTGGGATTGTTGCTTTTTTTTTAAATTTTTCCTTAGGTGGTAGTTTAATGACTCTCTGTTAACCTGATTTTTGCCTTATTGATTTATATAGGGTACGTAAAAGTAGATACTCTCTTAAATTATTCCTGTGTTTTAGATATCACTGTGTGAAGGGCTACATGAAGACAATATATTTAGCTCTGACACCCTGGGACTCGGAATAGTTTGTGTAACATACTGTTCTCTGCATTGGAATTTTAATGATGCACTATAGTTTATCTGATGAACTTCAAACATCCTGTAGGTGGGAACCAGGAGGTGGTGTGTGTGCTTAAGTCTGATTTCCACAGCCTTGTTTATATACTGTAATTTATGACCCGTATCACCTAAGGCCGTAAGGATAGTCACGTATGACTTGTGGCTTCCCTCTCACCAGTGCAAACACAAAACATAAGATATGAGACATCAGGTCAGTTCAAAACAGAAGGAAACAAATCTGAATCTTTTAACAGAGTAAATTTAAATTGTACTTAACTATGTTGCCTTTCAGATTGCTACATCAGTATGTTCTGCAGGGTTCAGTCATCTTTATCAGTACTGCCTCCTGAGAAGAGATACTAAGATGATTCACTTCCAGTTTCCGATGGCTATCTAGCAGATACGCTTCTAGTAAAAGGGATTCTGTCCAGTCTCTCTGGCATTGTTGTAGAAACTTAAGTGGTAAAAGCTGATTTTAGTGGTGTTACCAGAAACTTGCTTCCTGAATGCATGAAATGTTACAGCAATAGAGCGAGCCAGTCAATTTGGGTGGCATGGGTGAGGGCAGATAGATAGGGATGTGTGAAAATAATTGCAGAAATTTTGTGTATGTGTGAATCTGAGTTAGCTGAAGCATTGCTCCTTTTTATAACGGGCAAAAATGATGATTGGAGGTTTATAGAGTGAAGAGTTGGTGTCCTTGTAGTTGTTATGAAGGATGCAAGGCATGCAAGAAACTTTCTTAACTGATTTTCATGTGTTGGAGATGGTGAGGGTATGTCTTGAACCTTAGCTATTACCAAACAAACCTTGTGTGAT